GTATTAGGGTCAGGTACCTGTGAGGTTAGCCTTAGGGTTTGTGGTCAGGGTTCGGATATAAAAAAAAGGATGTAAAATTACCAAAAAATGAATGGAAGTCAATGGATGGACTCCACAAAGATATAAAAAAGTGTGTGTGTGTGTGTGTGTGGCCTTGTTTTTCCTACATTGTGGGGCCCAGATTTGAGGAAAATGCAGCCTTGTGGGGACTGGATGATCCTTGAGTGGCCCAAAGCCCCGTCCCCACAACTTCGGAGGCTGATTTGAGGTGTTGGGGTTTGGTTTAGGACCAAGGTGTGAATTGAGTTTAATTTAGTTTTAGGGTCTGGTAGGTACCTGTGAGGTTATCCTTAGGGTGAAGGGTCAGGGTTAGGATACAAAATAACGAAAAAATGAATGGAAGTCAATGGATGGACTCCACAAATATATAAAAAAAGTTTGTGTGTGTGTGTGTGTGTGTGTGTGTGTGTGTGTGTGTGTGTGTACTGAAATCAATCACCTGGCACACAGATTGTCCACAGGTGGATTACATTTAGGTAGTGTTGCTTATGAATATATGAAAGGGATTTCAATTTAAAGTAAACACAGTGAGTATRTGCAAATATGTTTAGGTTTATATATTTATGGTGGTTTATACTTTGCTAATCCTTTTGTGTGGGTCCACAATTTATCTAACTGAAACCTCATTTAGACTCTAAGGTTTTAAGTTAACTAAGCAGAAAGGGGTTGAACACTTCTGCAACCCCACTTTACATGACTAACACCTTCCTTCACAGCATTTGCTTTTGTACAGCATCCAGCTTCTTCCTCCCTGGAAGTTTACAATGTAGGTGTTGTGTTGCTATTATTGTAATCACCACAATGCTACAGGCTTCAAATAAAAGCCTGAGACAATATTCCTCCTACAGCCCAGTTTGTGTGCCCAGTGCCTGGCCTACGGCTGCATCCGTCTCTGCAGTGTCCCTGAAATTTCTGTGCATTATCAAGAGGAAGGACAGGCTAATCTGCTCTGATTTGAAATAGGACCACAACACTGGCTTTACTAATCCTTCTTTTTATACCAGGGATGGGGAGGAGCATTTTACCCTGGTGGGAGGGAGCGAAARAGGGAGTTATTTCATGCTTCAGTGATTCAACTGTTTTTATGAAGATTTTTTTCCCTACCATGCCCCTACTTCTACACTTCAATTCATAGTGTAACTGAATTTATAAAGCTATTTTGCAATAGTCAGACACACTGGAAAAAAGTGCTAAGGTACTCTTCATAATTAGGGACGTGTAGATGGCTGCCTTCTCCCTCTGTAGAAGCAGCAATTTAACTCTAAAGAAGATAAGGCTCAGTATCTCTGAAAACAGGGCGGCACAATTTCCTTTGCTGTCTTTCATTTTATTCATTTGACAATTGGCAAACACCTTTGACACGCTGGATGTAATTTTCTTCCTGGGAAAACAGCAATTTGGGTAAAAGCACACACATCTGCAGAATATTCTTCACATAATTACAATTCTTTACAATCTGTTATCCAATTGATTAAATATTTTGCTTGCTAAACAAACACATTTGTGGGTAAAAAAAGTCTGACGTATTATGTCAGGTGCTAAGGCAGAGCTGGAAATCACAGACAGAGAAGCTCATTTAGAGGCCTTGTGATGTGTGAATTTTAAAAATGATGAGACCGTTTCAGAAACACATGCTTCATTTTTATGTGTTTACCTCATTGTTTACTTTTCCATAAATGAGAAGAAAATATCTAGGATGTAGTTTTGTGGCTTCAAGGAAAAATAAAAAAACCTCAGCAGCTGACATGCTGGAATGTTTTTTTTTTTTTTCTTGCTAGTGCCACGGCAGAGCAAGCAGAAACAGAGAAGAAAACTGCTCATTGATCTGCTCTGATCTAAACACTGCAAAAGGCATGGCATATAACAAGCAGCAGGAAATTTACACAGTAAGCTTTGGCAACACAACAGCATGGGTCATCATAAGACTATGAATTACTAGAACACCTCTGTCTCAGAGGACCACTTGAGGCTCCCTCACTGTGAAATAATTGGGTTGCAACAGTGAAACTGCTACTCCCGTTAGAGTGCAAAGGTGGCTTTTGCTCTGTTTTGCTGTTACAACACCGCAGACATGGCGGTGACTATTAATCAATGCTTGACACGTGTAGCTGATGGCACRGGAAGCTGAAGGTATATAAGGTATAAGTGCAAAGAATGTGCAACATGGATGTTGAAAATTCATCCATTATGTTGTTCATTTGGATAAATTAACTGTGTTGTGATGGTTAGAATCTGTGCTGGAACGGTTTCAGTTGAATTTTTAAGATGTCATCGATGCTATTTTTTACCTTTGTGTGTGCACTTGTGTTTATAAGTCTTTTTATTTAAGTATCTCTAGAACAACTTGCAGAAATTAACTTTTGGATGCAATCTGAGTCAATAGGACYGCCAAAGCCACTGATCTTAAAATAAAAACATGGAAACAGCTACRTCTCTGTCAGTTTTACAGATATCCTCTTAAAGTTTGGTATGGTAGTGGCTGAAACTGATTCATCAACAAGCATTCTTAGTGCTAATAGATTGTGAAAGACCCTTGTTTAAAATCTTGCCATTTGCAACTTGAAGAAAACTATGCTTGTATATTAACAAAATATCTTATTAACCATTTAGATCAATTTAAAGGAAACTTTAACAAAATAATTTTTGGATAAKGTTCTACTATTGATTAACCTTTGGAGCCAACCTAAAACAAGTAGGGTGCAAAAGCCAATTGACTTTAGAAAACACAACATTTSTGTAATTCAGTCAGTTTTATATTGATGGTGTTCAAATTTGGTGTGGTAATTGCTAAGAGTCATTCACAACACATAGTATTTGTGCTACTCATTGCACTATAAAGCTTTAGTAGGAGTCAATCATGTTTGTCTGTTCGTAAAATATTTATTGCACTACTGGACAAAATGAAACTTTCAGGAATTAGTTATTGAATATCTACAACTGAATGGATTAAGTTTTCAGTCCATTTCAAGATGGTCACCACAGCTAGTCAACACTAGGTAACATAAAATAACTCAATCAGTTTCACAGACATTCAGAAAAAAAAWTGTTAGTAGCTGAGAGTGATTTGCAACACATTGTTTAGTTTGTCCAAAATGTTGCTTTCAGCTTTTGACCAAAAKGGCTATAATTCAGTCATTTCTCATCATAGACTAATTTTAGTCTAACATTTTGACAAAAATGCAGCAGGCTATATGCACCCCTATAAAGATTTAAATTTTATTCATTTAGTTTTTTTTAACTGCTCCAATAATTAAATGTTTATTTATTCTTAAATTTCATACCTGGAACCACTATTTTTTTCATGTTGGAACCAGAAGTCATATTTGGAGCAGGTCTTTACGAGCCATTTCACCTGCAGTGGACACATTCAGTTGCCCATGGCAGGACCTGTGCCATCTRCATGAGGGACATCTCCCTTTGTTGTCAAAGCATCTTTCACAGAAACAATTACCCAACCATCTGCAGCTTTCCTGTCAGCGTGTTGCTCACCGTCAGCATGTCAGCGTCTTCCTTTTTCTTTCTGCCTCACTCTGACTGCTGAGGAGCTAGGTCACCCTGAATTAAAATTGAATGGGTTCAATTGTGTTAATAATATATTTATATTCAGATTCTAAGTGCTTTTTTTTCTCCTCCAGATACCCGATAATGCAGCTCTGAATGGTGGATTGAATTGGCACTAATCTCTTTTCTGATTTGCCTTGAGCACTTGGTAGAAATGGAATATTGATGAAGGTCCTTGCATAAATTTTCTGCAAATATGATGAAGCTGTTTTTTGATAATGAACCTTATTTCTGGCACTGATGACTATTGGTATTAAAAAGGAATGGATGATATCTCCAGCTTTTGTGGAATGATTTGTAATTTTAAAAAAGCACTTAAAAGGAAAAAAAGAACAGGAAAAAGAAAAAAAAATCTAATGTGAAAAGGGACACCAGCGTAGATAAACCTTAAGAGTTGTTTTTTTTTTTATTCATTTTTTTGGGTGTGTTTCAAAGGGATTAATTTATGTCTTTATTTATGTAAGTGTGATTGTGTGAAGTACTTTTGGCTGAACAGTACCTCACTAGCAGTACATAAATTTCAAATCAATGTGTGGAATATGCTGGTTTGAAGACCAGTTTTKCACAAAATCACACATATTTCCAAGGTTTGACCAAAACAGCTGCAACTCTGTCCCTTATCATTCATGAATAATCTAAAGACAAAATTCAGTCATGAGAGGCAGTGGATGATGTGATTTCCTTCAAAAAATGGTAGGCCTTTAATTTTTAATAAAGCTTTTCTTTAAGGATGTGGGGTGTTAACGTTCAGTCCACTCTCTCTCCACATACACCTTCATGGMATTCCAAGGCTCTAAAGACTAAATAAGTTATTTATATAAAAGTGATACTACAGTGTGTGCTTGTGCTGTCATATGTTCAATGTTTGCAATATGTTACTAGACCAACACTAGGTGTTGTTATAACTTACACTCAAAAAACAGATWTAACAGATCTCTTTTTAAAAATAAGTGTCAATTGGTTCCACTCAACTCCTTTAATTCTTTCTGATGTCACAGTTGTTTTGGTGGTTATATAAACACGTGTATGTATGTATGTATGTATGTATGTATGTATGTATGTATGTATATATATATATATATACAGAATTCTTGTTTCCAACAAAAAAGTGGCCCACAGGGTTTAGCTTTTCACTGTAACAGGATGGGAGGAATGGGAGCCAATTTTTGAACCAATCAACCCCACATTGGGTTGAATGGTTTCATCCTGATTGGCTCAGCACTTCTGCCTTTCGGTTTACAGCTATGCAGACATGATTGCTTATGGAGCTGCAAGTTTATAACTGTTCTTCTGCACCACAGGTACCCCGGTAACCAGGGTAACAGCCACAGATGCTGATGATCCAGTGTATGGGAACAGYGCAAAACTAGTCTACAGCATACTGGAGGGACAACCATATTTTTCTGTTGACCCAAACTCTGGTGAGTACAGCTGTTTACGTGTTGGTATGATTGGATTTAAAGCTGAATCTCTGACATGAGGAGATGCATGTTGTTTGTGTTGTTGTCTAAGTTGATGTTTTCCCCCTAAATGGAAGGAAAAATATCCCACAAAATGTTTGATTCCAACTTTGATTCCAAAAAAAAAAGCTTTGCACATCAGGGTGAACCTCATTACTATTTAAACTATGTCCTTTTCCATTAGCTGCTTCCTGTCTGATGAATGAGCACACAGTTTCTCCCCAGGTCAAAGTGTAGGCCATCATAATGTATCCAGATGAATATATTCAGCTGACAGTTAGGAAGTACTTAGAAGAACAATCATATTTTGCATGCACACAAAAGTGCCTATTCTGAGCTTCAGTTTTTCCTTGAAACATCTTACTGAGCCATGTGTGCTTTTTGTATATTTATCATGGGTCACCTCCAGCACCCACAAAAAACACCACCCATCTTTCTCAATTGGTTCAACAAAAAATAATAATACAAATAATAAAATTAGGCAAAAGCATTTTGTTAGATGTTTAGTTTTCTAAAATATATTCACATGCAGGTTAAATCATTAATAAATGGACACACAGTATTTGAATTGCAAGCCTTTCTTGATCATGGACAAACATGCAATTTGCTCTTTTTTGTGTTAATTTTTCTGTGAAAACTGGGTCACACAATGAGAACAAGATCAGGGAAAATACTGCACACCTTACAGTAACCATGACTATCATAAGACAGATGTTTTCATCATTAGAAATATTTTTGTATTGTAAAATATCATAATATTTACCTGATGACAGACCTTCCAAAAGAGATATGGGATTTAAATGGGATTTGTCTGGTTAAATAAAGATTAATAAATAAGAANAGCTTTGCACATCAGGGTGAACCTCATTACTATTTAAACTATGTCCTTTTCCATTAGCTGCTTCCTGTCTGATGAATGAGCACACAGTTTCTCCCCAGGTCAAAGTGTAGGCCATCATAATGTATCCAGATGAATATATTCAGCTGACAGTTAGGAAGTACTTAGAAGAACAATCATATTTTGCATGCACACAAAAGTGCCTATTCTGAGCTTCAGTTTTTCCTTGAAACATCTTACTGAGCCATGTGTGCTTTTTGTATATTTATCATGGGTCACCTCCAGCACCCACAAAAAACACCACCCATCTTTCTCAATTGGTTCAACAAAAAATAATAATACAAATAATAAAATTAGGCAAAAGCATTTTGTTAGATGTTTAGTTTTCTAAAATATATTCACATGCAGGTTAAATCATTAATAAATGGACACACAGTATTTGAATTGCAAGCCTTTCTTGATCATGGACAAACATGCAATTTGCTCTTTTTTGTGTTAATTTTTCTGTGAAAACTGGGTCACACAATGAGAACAAGATCAGGGAAAATACTGCACACCTTACAGTAACCATGACTATCATAAGACAGATGTTTTCATCATTAGAAATATTTTTGTATTGTAAAATATCATAATATTTACCTGATGACAGACCTTCCAAAAGAGATATGGGATTTAAATGRGATTTGTCTGGTTAAATAAAGATTAATAAATAAGAAATTGTGCTTTAAAACTCAAAAACAAATCAATTTTCTGTTTAAATCACCTGCCAAATTGATCAAAAAATAATAAAGGCCCCCTCGCACTGGAAGAAGTGGGTTAAGATAATAGCTACTGTAGACGGATCAACAAAAGGCCAATGTTACAGTTATTTACAACAAGCAAGAGCTGATCCRATGCTTACACCTTTAACTTTTACAAAATTTCTGAATTCTCTGTTTTTGTTTTGCTTCTTTCATCGAAGACATCAGTGAGTTTGACAATAGTTTTATTTAAGTAGCTTCAGCATGAAACCCAGTATAAATAACTCAACACCTTTTTTAAGTCTGAGCTTCCTGATATTTAAACATCAGATCAAGCATTGAAATTTCTAATTGCATTTATTTTACTTAAAATGTGTTTTGAACTTAAAATTCTATAAGATTACAGAGTCAATCCGCTCTTAAATACAAACAAGTTTCTAAAAAAAGGAGCAGGCAGTCTGAAATTCTATTTTTTTATGATCTTTTAATGTTTGGCATTGTGTATCATCTGTCTCTAAGTTGCCAGTACTTGGACTTTTGACTTTTCCGCAGGGACAGAAGGGACAAAGCACCTGTTAAAAGTGAAAGTGAAACTACATGTGTGCTGTCTGCTGGTACCACAAGCTGTGCAGGTTCCAGCAGGTGGAGATGCAACAGCTTCTTCACCTTCTGGCCTGCCTCAGATAACTGTATTCTGTTGTTGCACATTACCCTCAAAGTGTGTACAGTTCCTGACAGGATGTCTGGATAAAAAAAGAAAAAAAAGAAAAGAAGCCACAGCCAAGCATTTACCTGATGTACGATATGTTGGTTAATATGTTGTTCGCCGCTGTGTCTACATGATTGTTTAACCTCAGCTGCATTGAGCTAGCACATCAGGGACGACATTATCAAATGCCTGCTAAAGGGGGTGCTGACAGTGTTGGTTTATTGCTTGAAAAGTTGTGTAACAACAACAGTACTGCAGGTAACTCAGCCCATCTGTTTTTTGAAACGCTTATAGATTATCGCTGCGTGAGGCTGCTGCTAACTCAGGCTGCCAGCCTCAATCCCCCCACCCCCCTTCCTCTATTGCTTCCCTCTCCAGCTGCTCACTCATACACACACACACACACACACACACA